AGAAACTCCGCGCACACACACACACACACACACACACACACACACACACACACACACACACACACACACACACACAAGCGTACCGCAGACCACAACCGCTCCAACTATCACATACAATTCAGCTTCAGCTCTGGTTTAATAGGGCTGATGTTGTTGGTTAACATTTTTTACTCGGAAATATTATATAGAGCACCAAAAGATAAGACGGTCTCCCCATGCATTACATTTAAAGCTAAAGGAGGAGGAAAACAAACATGCACGTTTGAGACTTTAATAGTAAAACATCCTTGAAAGAGAGTGTGTTTGCTCTTTCTATTTTATTGTACCTTTTATGGAGAGAGAGAGACAATAATATGACTTCTCATAATATTTAACTAAGCACTTACTGGTTACACCTATGACATTTATGCAAATTGATAAAAGCAGCACTTCTATTGGCTGACAGAGTAAAAAAACGACATGAACATAAAACATTCTGACAGGAAAAATGATCAGGCAAACGTCAGGCATGGCTTCTCCTTCCCTCCTGTGAGCGGCGCTCAAGGGCACGCAAGTTATTTTGCCATTGATTAGAGATGCTTGTCTTATCTTGGCCTCTAATCCTCTCCTGTTAGCCACGGTTATAACACACACACACACACGCACACACACACACACTCTTGAAGGCAATTACAGGAGGCAGACACCACAGCTTCACATCCACGTTTCACAGCACCACTGACTAAACAAACACAACACACTCTTAGTATGTGACTTGAGTTTGTAGTCACCCTTCAGTTTGTGTGGTAAAGCTTTCTACTATCAGATGCTACAGTAATAGTGGTTGCCGTGTGTGCTGATGTCACTGGCTCGGTTGCTAACCTGATCCCTGTCTGGCCTCTGGCCCTGTGGAATGACTGAACCTCTCAAGATCCTATCAAATATATCCGAGCTCAAGCGCTGTCAGACTCTCTGAAGTGCTGCAGACACAAGCAGCAAATGTGCAGAGTATGGAAGCCCGTCTCCGCCACTGAATAACAAATAAAGACAATTGGGACTTCTTTTCTCACAATTCAGATTTTTTCTTGCAATTGCAAGCTTATATCTCGCCATTTTGACTTTATAACAGGCAATTGCACGGTTATGTCTCACAATTCTGTGAAAAGTCAGATATAAACTCACAATTGTGAGTCTGAATTGCAAGACAAACATGCAATTGTGAAAAAAAATTAGAAAAGTGAGTATCTCACAATTTTGACCTTATTTCTCGCAATTTTGTTTATTTCCCGTAATTCTGACTTTGTAAGAAGCAACTGTGTTTATAGCTCACAATTCTGAAAAAAGAAGTCAGAAATGCAAGATATAAACTTGCAACTGTGAGAAAAAAGTCTGAATTGTGAGAAATTAAGTCAGAATTGCAAGATATAAACATCTTGCAATTCTGACCTTGTAACTTGCAATTGCGAGATTATATCTCACAATTCTGAGGAAAGTAGTCAGAATTGCAAGAAATAAACACACAATTTGCATAGAAAAAAGTCCAAATTGTGAGATAAAAAGTCACAATTACTTTTCTTTTTGTTTCGGACTATGAATCCATCCAGAGTGAGGATATCTAAAATGTTTTGATATTTTGAGCTGATTTTAGAATACATATTGTTTCCATTTGTCACGTTTCAAATGTTAAGGTTACAACTGAATCGGTCTGAAAAAAGAGTGATTTCTTAAAATTGTTATTTTCAAACCTCTAAATCTACTAATAAAAACTGCTCAAAATTAACCAAAATTAAAAATCATTCGCTTATAATGTCTGCACAGGAGTGACTTAGTGTTGTTTCCAAACAAAAGGAAATATCGATTGACCAGCAGTTTTTGGGTAACACATTACAAGTAACATGAGTTATATAATCAGATTACATTTTTCAAGTAACTAGTAAAGTAACGCATTACATTCAAAGTATGAAATATCTTAACTACTTTTTCAAACAAGTAACACAACCCTAGGAAAAAGTAATATATTTAAAATATATTTATTTCATACTAAATATAGTTCAAATCTATTAACATTTACTGACAAATTGCTTTAAAAAGACTTACTGATATAAAAATTATAATGAAACTTTATTTGGAATACTACTTGTGCACACTGCACATTTCTTAATATTAATCCTAAAATGTGTTTTAATGTCACTGTTGATGAGGATTGTATAATCTTTGAATAATATTAGTCTTTAAATGCAAAATAGTTAAAGTGTACCTGAAGTACTTGCCATACTTGCAACAGTTTCACTTTAGCACAATCAAACATACTTCAGTATGTCTTCAGTTGGACTTCAGGAATACTTCCGCACAATTAAAGTGCATTAAGCACAAAATTAGTTTAGTATACCAAAAGTACAACTGCAGGGTCTTTTTATTAAGCACATAAATATGTAAATGTATTTGTAGTATACATATCATGACATTTTATAGGGCTGCCCTCGACTAAGGATTTTTCTGGTTGACTAGTAGTCGTTCATTTGAAGCATTAGTCAACTAATCACACGTTTTTTAATAAACCGTTTAAATCATTATGAGCCTTTAATTGCCTACAAAGCCTAATAAGCGCTCAAGCACACGCATAAAGCTTGCCACAGCGCACCGGCAGAAGTAATGATTATGAATATGCCAGGGAAAAACAGTAAGGAGTATTTTAATAATTTGATAAACTACCTAGTGTTTCGATTTAAGAGATGAAGTCGGAGACACTGACTCGTCAGTAAAGGACGCGCCTGTATGCATCTTTCATAAGAATTACATAATCTGAGAATTTGTTTTCCATTTGAAAGTAGAGATTTCACTCTCTATAAATATATTTTTAATGTCTGTAAGGCAAAGATATACATGGAGTTTCGCGGTCAGGTTCACAGAGACCGAGACGGCAGAAAGCGCTTAATGTATGCTTTCATTATATTACAAAAGCGTGGTGTTGTGAGTGCACACAAATAAACATAGAGTCTTTACAGATTTGAAAGCTGTATTACTCTTATCTCTATGACCAAAAATTACAGAGTATTTTAGGAGCAAGAGCACCGGCACCTCCATCTGTCCTGCAGTGAGAGCTACTGTTCAGCTTCCACACACTAGAATAGTGCACATTTCTCTAGGATAACATTAGATTGAGTGGCCATGTAAAGTTGCTAATACTTACATATTTCAGATGATAAGTCATATTTGAGGTCGATGAATGATAGTCGAGTGTTTGGATGTCCTGCCCGATGTACTGTTTTCCCACATAGACCAGCCGTTAACGATCTGTCCGTCACGGACTTGTGATTTCTTAAAATTGTTATTTTCAAACCTCTAAATCTACTAATAAAAACTGCTCAAAATTAACCAAAATTAAAAATCATTCGCTTATAATGTCTGCACAGGAGTGACTTAGTGTTGTTTCCAAACAAAAGGAAATATCGATTGACCAGCAGTTTTTGGGTAACACATTACAAGTAACATGAGTTATATAATCAGATTACATTTTTCAAGTAACTAGTAAAGTAACGCATTACATTCAAAGTATGAAATATCTTAACTACTTTTTCAAACAAGTAACACAACCCTAGGAAAAAGTAATATATTTAAAATATATTTATTTCATACTAAATATAGTTCAAATCTATTAACATTTACTGACAAATTGCTTTAAAAAGACTTACTGATATAAAAATTATAATGAAACTTTATTTGGAATACTACTTGTGCACACTGCACATTTCTTAATATTAATCCTAAAATGTGTTTTAATGTCACTGTTGATGAGGATTGTATAATCTTTGAATAATATTAGTCTTTAAATGCAAAATAGTTAAAGTGTACCTGAAGTACTTGCCATACTTGCAACAGTTTCACTTTAGCACAATCAAACATACTTCAGTATGTCTTCAGTTGGACTTCAGGAATACTTCCGCACAATTAAAGTGCATTAAGCACAAAATTAGTTTAGTATACCAAAAGTACAACTGCAGGGTCTTTTTATTAAGCACATAAATATGTAAATGTATTTGTAGTATACATATCATGACATTTTATAGGGCTGCCCTCGACTAAGGATTTTTCTGGTTGACTAGTAGTCGTTCATTTGAAGCATTAGTCAACTAATCACACGTTTTTTAATAAACCGTTTAAATCATTATGAGCCTTTAATTGCCTACAAAGCCTAATAAGCGCTCAAGCACACGCATAAAGCTTGCCACAGCGCACCGGCAGAAGTAATGATTATGAATATGCCAGGGAAAAACAGTAAGGAGTATTTTAATAATTTGATAAACTACCTAGTGTTTCGATTTAAGAGATGAAGTCGGAGACACTGACTCGTCAGTAAAGGACGCGCCTGTATGCATCTTTCATAAGAATTACATAATCTGAGAATTTGTTTTCCATTTGAAAGTAGAGATTTCACTCTCTATAAATATATTTTTAATGTCTGTAAGGCAAAGATATACATGGAGTTTCGCGGTCAGGTTCACAGAGACCGAGACGGCAGAAAGCGCTTAATGTATGCTTTCATTATATTACAAAAGCGTGGTGTTGTGAGTGCACACAAATAAACATAGAGTCTTTACAGATTTGAACGCTGTATTACTCTTATCTCTATGACCAAAAATTACAGAGTATTTTAGGAGCAAGAGCACCGGCACCTCCATCTGTCCTGCAGTGAGAGCTACTGTTCAGCTTCCACACACTAGAATAGTGCACATTTCTCTAGGATAACATTAGATTGAGTGGCCATGTAAAGTTGCTAATACTTACATATTTCAGATGATAAGTCATATTTGAGGTCGATGAATGATAGTCGAGTGTTTGGATGTCCTGCCCGTTGATGTACTCTATTACCATAGACTAACGTTAGCCATTAACGATCTGTTAGTCATGGCCTGCGTGACTTCGCCTGTGGATTTTTTTTTTCTGCGAATAAAATTTTGGTCGACCAAGCCTTTTTTGGTCGACTAACGATTAGTCGACTATTAGGGGGCAGCCCTAAAATTTTAAATACATTTTAGTATATTTATTTTTCTCTAGGAGAGTTACTTTGTTTTCCCATTTATTCACTGACACTTCTGCTGTCCCCGTGTCGAGAGAAATCAGGAGTGAGATGCAGAGACACTTCCTTCAGCCCGAGGCTTATTCATTTTACTTTTGGTGTGAAAGGGCCTTTCCAGTTACCAAAAATCGAACTTTTTTTTGTTTTTTGTTATTAAAAATAAATAAGCAAGCCCAGCCCAGGTGACAAAAAGTAACAAAAAAGTAACGCAATGCATTACTTTTCATAAAAAGTAACAAATCAGTAACTATTTTATAGAGTAATGCAATACTTTTAAAAGTAACTTTCCCCAACACTGTTGGGTTTCCACCAAAATTAGTTAAAAATATCAGGAAAGAATCCAATATCGTGCATCCCTACTCCTAATGATGCATGATTTCCATGAAGTGAAGCACTTGCCCATTCCTCCTCGTCGTACTCTTTGTGGTGCGGGATGGAGTCGGAGTGGACGGGCGACGCTCGGCTTTCTCTCGGCGGCGTCTGGGAGCCATCCACATTGTTGCAGACGCTGTGTGGCTTCTCGGTGGCGCTGGGGTGCGGATCGGCTGTGGCTGGGGCAGGGCTGGACGGAGCGGAGCTCTGACTCTTGCTGACGTATCCGGGACGGGCGGCATGCAGCGCCAGGAGAGCACTCTTCACCAACTCATCCTTCAGAGCGTGAACAAACTGCTCCGTCTGCAGACAGACAGAGAAGAGCCAGCGTTTTAATAACCAACATTTCATTAAAGTACAGCACAGCATAAGAGCGTGTGATGAAGATAAAAGGGACGGGACGAGACACGCAACAGAAAACTAATAAACAAACAGCGATGGTATAGTCGATAGAAATGCAGAAGAAAGAGCGAGAAGAATTAGAGAGACACAAAAGACATGCCGGTTCTTCTGAAACAACAACAACAACATATGATTCAATTAATCTACAGAGTCGTGCGAATATTGAAAAGATTGCATGAGAAACAGAAAGAGCAGGACGACCTCATTCATATTCATAGGTACTTGTACATATGTATATTTTTCTATGTTTTTGAGAAACTTAGGCAACGTCCAAACGTCTGATTTCACAGTGAAAACCTCATCGGGAGACTTGTGAATAAACTTGATCTGAGAAAAAACTTTTTAATGTCAAATTTATTTATAAATGAAATCAAGATGAGACAAAGTAAACATCCTTAGCACTATTTGTGAAATAAATAAATTAAAAAATAAAATTGTTGTTTGGTTAATATAATAGCTATGAATAAATAAAAAGTTCTAAATATTTTTGAATCAATAAACTGCAGTTTGATCAAAATCACACACACACACAAAAATTAAATAAACATTTTAAATAAATTTCTTTACAGTAGCTTTTTGGTTCTTTTTTATGGTTCGCATGCAGTGAGAGCGCTAATCGCGCCAGAGCACGGAACAGATACTGTTTTGTGTGCACTACTGTCATCATTACGACCGCAAACATATTCTTTTACTACTACTACACTACACTTTTCAATTAAGTTTGTTCAATCAAGTATATTTAGGTTTATAATGGTCACCTTATTGATGAACCGGAAATGTAGTTTGCGAGTAAAGCTGCAAATTATTTAATTAAAATCAGCTGCCTCTGTAATAATTCTCTGATACATACAAGTGAAAATCAATGCACAGCATAAATTATAAATGAACTATTATTAATTATTTGGCAGAATATTAGCGAAAGTGTTTTTCTCCATTATCTCGTACATGACCTAAGCGTGCTCCGGCCCGGAATGTTTAGTGCAAGTGTGAGTGCAGGCCAGCGGGGGAGGGGGGATAATCGCGCTCGGGCTCGGTTCAAGGCAACCGTGTCTAGTGTGAGTACACCCTCCAGGTGTCTACGGGCCGTACTAAAAGACACTGCGGGCCGCCAGTTGCCCATCCCTGGTATATATAAATGAAAATTATTAAATATAATTCTTACATCTGTTAATTTAGAGAAATATGCCTTACAATTAAGAGTTAAACATTTTGAAAGAGTTTGAACGTTTAACTGAAAAATAATGATATAAAAAATTATAAAATATAATAAAAAAATTATATAATAAATAAATAAAATAGTTTTAATATACAATTATCTAAAATGGCTGTTTGTAATAAATAAATAAATAAATAAATAAAAAGTTCTGAAAGATTCTGAATCAACAAACTGCTGTTTGGTCAACATGATAGTTCTAAAAAAAAATAAAAAAAATAAAATAGCCAAAAAAAATCATAGATTTTTTACAGTTGCGTTTTGGTTAATATGATAACAGATTTTGAATCAACAGTTACAGCTTCTGTTTGGTTAAAATTATAGTTCTAATAAATACAAATAAATGAATAAAATAAAATAAAATAAAATATTTTGAATTAATTCCTTTACAATTACTGTTTGGTTAATATTATCTCTATTTAAATAAATAAACAAATAAATAAATAAACTGACAGACAGACAGACAGACAGACAGACAGACAGACAGACAGACAGATAGATAGATAGATAGATAGATAGATAGATAGATAGATAGATAGATAGATAGATAGATAGATAGATTGATTGAATTATTGATTTTAGAACATTAATTTTGTCTGAACATCAATTGTAACTTTAAAGTTACACTGTAAGTTTTAACTAAAATGTTTAAAAACTATAAAGTTACAAATGCTGTTTGTTTAAAATGATAGCTCAATTTTTTTTTTAAACAAATAAAAAGTCACAGCCCTAGATTTTGTGCTTGCTGTGTTGTATACAAAAATAAAATATAATAAATAAAATAAAATAAAAACGTCACAGCCCTAGATGGTGTGCTTGCAGTGTTGTACACAAGTCTAATGCAACATCAACACGCACCCACACAAACAGTCGCTGAGGGCTGGAGATTTCAATCAGTAGAAGCGTGTGATCATGCAGCGGCCGTCGCACTGCTAATCAAGGAGGTGAAGAGCGGCGGCAGAGAGAATTAAGCAATGAAGGCGGCTGATTGGCGATATTCCGCTGTGGCAGAAACAATCTCTGTGTCACAGATTGCACACTGACGGCAGCAGATGTAATTCATTAATTACACACATAAAACATGAAGGCCTCCAAACGAGACACTCGGCCCGGTGGCTTCTGTTGGCTTTGGCAGAGGGGAACGTGACAGACCCCTGGTCATTTGTCAAACAGCCTTCATGTTTACAAACTGACCCGTTTCAGGCCGAGACTCGGTGGTCTGAGTGAATGGGACGACAAACACGCTGCGTTTGTTTGTTGATGTGAAATCTGGTGTTGTCTACAGAAACACAGAGAATATTCACTGCTGTACCGATTCAGCATGCAATTCATTTCAATAATTGTATTTTAATGATTTGGTGTAATGGTTTTTAGAGTGTGAGGACACCCTCAAGGGGTCTACGGGCCGTACTAAAAGACACTGCGGGCCGCCAGTTGCCCATCCCTGGTATATATAAATGAAAATTATTAAATATAATTCTTACATCTGTTAATTTAGAGAAATATGCCTTACAATTAAGAGTTAAACATTTTGAAAGAGTTTGAACGTTTAACTGAAAAATAATGATATAAAAAATTATAAAATATAATAAAAAAATTATATAATAAATAAATAAAATAGTTTTAATATACAATTATCTAAAATGGCTGTTTGTAATAAATAAATAAATAAATAAATAAAAAGTTCTGAAAGATTCTGAATCAACAAACTGCTGTTTGGTCAACATGATAGTTCTAAAAAAAAATAAAAAAAATAAAATAGCCAAAAAAAATCATAGATTTTTTACAGTTGCGTTTTGGTTAATATGATAACAGATTTTGAATCAACAGTTACAGCTTCTGTTTGGTTAAAATTATAGTTCTAATAAATACAAATAAATGAATAAAATAAAATAAAATAAAATATTTTGAATTAATTCCTTTACAATTACTGTTTGGTTAATATTATCTCTATTTAAATAAATAAACAAATAAATAAATAAACTGACAGACAGACAGACAGACAGACAGACAGACAGACAGACAGACAGATAGATAGATAGATAGATTGATTGAATTATTGATTTTAGAACATCAATTGTAACTTTAAAGTTTTAACTAAAATGTTTAAAAACTATAAAGTTACAAATGCTGTTTGTTTAAAATGATAGCTCAATTTTTTTTTTAAACAAATAAAAAGTCACAGCCCTAGATTTTGTGCTTGCTGTGTTGTATACAAAAATAAAATATAATAAATAAAATAAAATAAAAACGTCACAGCCCTAGATGGTGTGCTTGCAGTGTTGTACACAAGTCTAATGCAACATCAACACGCACCCACACAAACAGTCGCTGAGGGCTGGAGATTTCAATCAGTAGAAGCGTGTGATCATGCAGCGGCCGTCGCACTGCTAATCAAGGAGGTGAAGAGCGGCGGCAGAGAGAATTAAGCAATGAAGGCGGCTGATTGGCGATATTCCGCTGTGGCAGAAACAATCTCACAGACAGACAGACAGACAGACAGATAGATAGATAGATAGATAGATAGATAGATAGATAGATAGATAGATAGATAGATAGATAGATTGATTGAATTATTGATTTTAGAACATTAATTTTGTCTGAACATCAATTGTAACTTTAAAGTTACACTGTAAGTTTTAACTAAAATGTTTAAAAACTATAAAGTTACAAATGCTGTTTGTTTAAAATGATAGCTAAATTTTAAAAAAAAACAAATAAAAACAAATAAAAAGTCACAGCCCTAGATTTTGTGCTTGCTGTGTTGTATACAAAAATAAAATATAATAAATAAAATAAAATAAAAACGTCACAGCCCTAGATGGTGTGCTTGCAGTGTTGTACACAAGTCTAATGCAACATCAACACGCACCCACACAAACAGTCGCTGAGGGCTGGAGATTTCAATCAGTAGAAGCGTGTGATCATGCAGCGGCCGTCGCACTGCTAATCAAGGAGGTGAAGAGCGGCGGCAGAGAGAATTAAGCAATGAAGGCGGCTGATTGGCGATATTCCGCTGTGGCAGAAACAATCTCTGTGTCACAGATTGCACACTGACGGCAGCAGATGTAATTCATTAATTACACACATAAAACATGAAGGCCTCCAAACGAGACACTCGGCCCGGTGGCTTCTGTTGGCTTTGGCAGAGGGGAACGTGACAGACCCCTGGTCATTTGTCAAACAGCCTTCATGTTTACAAACTGACCCGTTTCAGGCCGAGACTCGGTGGTCTGAGTGAATGGGACGACAAACACGCTGCGTTTGTTTGTTGATGTGAAATCTGGTGTTGTCTACAGAAACACAGAGAATATTCACTGCTGTACCGATTCAGCATGCAATTCATTTCAATAATTGTATTTTAATGATTTGGTGTAATGGTTTTTAGCCATGGTAATACCATTTTTAAGCCATAGTGCTATGGCATTATACAGTACAGTGATATATGTTAAAGCACCATGGTACAAGCGCAGTACTGTCGTCTGGTACAGACAGCAAATGTTAGTGAACTAGCCATTGTTTCTCTCAGTGATTCAGCAGAAGCAGCAGCAGCTTGTGAATGTGGATAAATTGAGTGTGACAGCAGCGTATTTCATTTGCAGAAATATTTGCCCTTAAAGCATGAACATTTGCCGGACTATTAACAGACGCACTATCAGCTGCACTATTCTGCCTCATTTTACATTTATGCTCCCAAACCACCATCTTGAAGATTAATACTTTCTTTACAATTTTACTTTCAAACTTTATGCAATTCCAGATTGACTCGGGTATTCAAGGACATTGGCTAAATTGCGTCTCGAATAAAGATTTTTCAAGGTTTTTTTGATGAGTCATAGTAATACTATAATGAATCCTCAACTACACCTCATGTCCAGTTGAGGTGTAAAAATATGAGTAAATATATATTTATATATATATATATTCAAGGATGTTGGCTAAAATAGCCTTTTAAAAACATATATATTTTTCAAGGGTTTTTTAAGTCATATTAATACTATAATAAATCCCCACCTACACCTCATGTCCAGTTATTACCTTAAATAATTCAATTTAAAAAAAAAAAATAAAATATTTATTTGTTTGTTTGTTTATTTCAAGGACATTGGTTAAAATCATAAAAAAGTGTTTTTTGATGAGTCATGATAATACCATAATAAATCTTTACCTAAACCTTACATCCAGTTATTACCTTAAAAAACTATTTTTGTATAATAAATAAATAAATAAACAAACAAATCAATGAATGAAAAAATATTATTATTAATAATAATAATAATAAATTAATGATACGTTTATTATTATCTAATTTAATATTTTATTAAATAATTAAATAATAATAATAATAATTTCAGAATGGATCCTCACCTACACCTCACGTCTAGTTATTATCTTGGAAAAATATATAGTTTTTTGTATATTAAAAATGAATTAAATTAAATTAAATATTATTAACGATTAATTATTAAATAATAGTTTTTTGATGAGTCATAATTATACCAGAATTATTTTTTTTAATTTTTTTTATGTACATCTCACGCCCAGTTATCTTGAGAAGAAAAAAATAATACATCCATATATAAATTTCGATTTTGGGGTCAGTGTGACTCCTTTTCAGTAAAAACAGCAATACTGTGAAATAGTATTACAATTTAAATTACATTTCTTATTATTATCTTATTATTAAGTCGCACCACTTCACATTTTTGTGTAAATGGTGACGCATTTTCTTCAGGAATCTCTGAAGAACACAAAGTTCATAAGAAAAGCATTTATTTGAAATAGAAATCTTTTGTAACATCATAAACGTAAAAAGAATACATCCATATATAAATTTCGATTTTGGGGTCAGTGTGACTCCTTTTCAGTAAAAACAGCAATACTGTGAAATAGTATTACAATTTAAATTACATTTCTTATTATTATCTTAAGTCGCACCACTTCACATTTTTGTGTAAATGGTGACGCATTTTCTTCAGGAATCTCTAAAGCATTTATTTGAAATAGAAATCTTTTGTAACATCATAAACGTCTTTCCTGTCACTTCTGATGAACTGAATGCCCTCTTGCTGAGCGTCTGCAGTCTCACCTTCTCCTCCAGGCTCTTGAGGACGTCTCGGAGAGGCTGGCTGGAGCTCTGCTGGGCCGTCTGGAGCAGCTGGTCGGCCAGCGCAGAGATGTGCGGCTGCAGCTGGGACACCACACACAGGATCTCGCGGGCCTTGGCCGTCTGTTCTGGAGGATAGTAAATGCACTGATATGCCGTGCTGTAGCTGGAGGACGTCATACAGGAGCCAGAGAAACAACACAGAGAGAGATGGAATTAAGAACAGCAGGGAGATGAAGAGCATCGTCTTGTTCATCATCAAACAGCTGTGATTACAGCTCTGTGCAGCAAATACACTGTGACAAAATATATCTAATAAACCCAGCCGAACCAATTCCAGTCCCTGTGTGAACAGCGCTCACTTCCTGAACATCACGGCCCGCGTTTCATCTGAGCTCGGGAGACACTGGCAGCCAGGAGAAATTACTGTTTTTGAAGGGATCATATCATGCATTTTTAGCAGATAATTTTTTCCCTGATGGCCACTTTTTGCATCTAAAAAAGTCATGATTTTTTTTTTTCATGACACGTTACCCTCTCTGTGACCCTGTGGATGTTTGTATAGATGACCTGGTCTGCAAATAAGAAAATGGACTAGAAATGAACGATGACAGACATGAATTCAGGCCTCAATTTGGACAACAAAATGTCTTTTAATAATGTCTGTAACGTACCAATATGATTTCAATAAAAAAAGTTCTAAAATAAATAATTTTATTATTTAAAAATATTATATAAATATTATGTATTATTTATTTTAAATAATATAATTATATTTTTATGCTAAAAATAATGAATTATCAAGGGCAAACACATAATGACGAGCCGGTGGTCTATAATTTTGTTTGTGATGCTGGAGATTAGAGACGGAGTGTTAGCATCCTGATCCTAGATCAGTGTATCGGCCGAGACTCACAGAGACCAGGCTCATCGCTTCAGATAATTAGCTCCCGGGAGGATCGCTAACCACCGCGGCTCTGAGCAAATAAAAGGCCTTGCTTAAAGAGAGGAGACGCACACCAAAGGACAGAGGAAAATATGAGAGGACATCAATAACTCAAGCCACTGGACTCATTTAGCAGGTCTACAATGACAAAACACAGCAGAGACCGGGTTAAAAAGTCAAACTGACGCTTCATGTCAGTATAGGGGAGCAACTCACTAAAAGTAATGACACAACTTAGCTAACATAGATACATTCACACTCTGAGCAGGGGCGCAGATGGGATTTTTTAACTGGGGGGTACCAAGCTGTCAGCAATAGGGATGTAACGATTCACTCAACTCACGATTCGATTCACGGTTTTGATTTCACGATTCCATTCACGATTTTGATTTCACGATTCGAGTCACGATTTTTTTTAACAAAATGAGATTTAAGACAAATTATAAATTAAATGTGTCCTTTTATCATTGCTTGGACAAAATACTGTACGTTTCTCTGTGAAATTGAAATATAACACTATAATAATATACTAATATAGCACTTGCATATGCATTATACAGAGGCAAGAGGAAAAGACAGTAAGTTTCCCTCAGACATACATTCATATAAACTCCTACCCCCACATGAACGTACACAACCAGGGCAACGACGATCGTGGAAACAAGTGAAGATGACACACAATCATATTCAAACAAAAGCCAACACGGAAACAAAGCAAAGTCAACATTACTCACCTATCAAAAAGAAACAGGACAACCTTGGCGTCCGATTCGAGCCCTTCCCGCTCCTTGAGTATCTCTCCACTGCTGGAAAGCTGCTTTCTTTTTAATGTTTTTTTTCTTTGATATTTTCCTCTTTTTTTATCTGTCATCTTTCTCTATCTATAGTCAATCTGCTAATATCCATCATGTGCGCTCAAATTGAGTGTTCTCTTCTCTCTATCAGTACAAGACATGACCCCTTACTGCTGATTGGCTACAAGTGTGTTTTGGGACTCGGACAGACACTGAGGTCAAAAGCGTTTTTCAAAAATCGCTTAGTGCACGTTTAAAGGGGTCATAGGATGCCCATTTTCCACAAGTTGATATGAATCTTTAGGGTCTTAATGAAAAGTCTGTAACATAGTTTGGTTAAAATTTCTCAATGGTAGTGTAAAACACACCTTTTTTACCCTGTCAAAAACAGCTCTCTCGTTTTTGTAGCATTTTCCTTTAAATGTTAATGAGCTCTGCTGACCCCGCCCCTCTCTTCCGAGCTGCTCTCAGAGAGACTGTTTACTTTAGACGCATTCATTGTGAAACTGGCTAATTAGCACATTATTAGGAAAGGCGATTTGCAAAGATTCATTACAAAACATTATACTCACTTCTTCTGTAGATGAGGCTGGATCACGAATGATTTGCGCGAACATAGA